ACCGGTGCCAGCAGCAGGTGCAAGCGGGGCTGGCGCCATCAGCAAGTGTGAGTGGCAGCTGCTGCCCTGATCACCCCTCAGGAGCAGAGGGAGGTGGAGAAGCCCTCAGGGGCGATCAGGGCCAACAGCCGCTGCTAGCACCCGCTGATAGCGCTGAGCGATTGGGACTGGCACTGGGCACTGTTGTGGAGTGCGAGTGACAGAATGACCAGAATTCCAGACTGATTAAAATTTGGAGAGCCTTTATTGACTGGCCAGTGTCCGCTCCTCCACTCGGGAAGCCCAAGAGAGAAGCGGCCACGACCATCTGCAGAGTGCAATATTTAAAGGGGACAACTACATCCGTGTTCAGGTTCCCATAGCAAGCAAAGCCAAGTTACAAAAGCTAATTGCGTAGTTTTAGCCAAGCTATTCATCATCATCCTGTTATTCATTTCTGGGTAACTTAAAGGTCAGGACTATTCTTAATTTTGATCTGTCTGTTCTTTGTAGGCCGTTGCTCAGGTGTGTTCATCTGTTAGTTCTTTGTAGGCTGTTGCTCAGGTGTGTGAGTTCAGTTCCTAGAAACTTTGCACAGGCTGTCAAGCTGCTGAGGTGGCTAGGTAATTAAGCAGGCCTAAAAATTTTCCTACTCTGTAACAGCGCCAGCTGCGGGTGCAAGCAGAGCCATCGCCAGCAGTGGGTGTGAGAGGCAACTGCCAACCTGATCACCCCTCAGGAGCAGGGGGAGGTGGAGAAGTTCTCAGGGGCGATCGGTACTGCCAGCCACCGCTCACACCCACTGACAGCGCTGTGATTGGGGCTGGTGCTGGGCGCTGGCAGCGAGTGTGAGTGGGGCTAGCACCGGCAGCCAGTGCAAGCGCTGGCGGGACTGCGGTGCACGGGAGCAAAGCACTTTCAGTAACCACGAGAGGCTTGCCCTGATGACAGCGACTGGTGCCCCGCCTTGGTCTGGCGCCCCCACTCACCTGCCCCACCACCCCGCCATGGCCTATGCCCACCATGTTCCACATGCGTCCCCTGGTGGTCAGCGCACGTCATAGCGACTGGTTGTTCGGTTGTTCTGCCATTCAGTCTAATTGCATATTAGGGTAATATATATATATTGATTTCAGAGAGAAAGGGGGAGGAAGAGTGATTCAATCAATGATGAGAGAGAATAATTGATCAGCTGCCTCCTGCATGCCCCCTACTGGGGATCGAGCCTGTAACCCGGGTATGTGCCCTGTCCTGGAATCAAATCATGACCTCCTGGTTTATAGGTTGACACTCAACCACTGAGCCACACCAGCAGAGCAGGAACATTTCTTTTTTTTTGGTTAATCCTCACCCAAGGATATTTTTTCATTGATTTTTTTTAGAGAGAGTGTAAGGGAGGGAGAGCGAGAGAGAGAGAGAGAGAGAGAAAGAGAGAGGAAACATTGATGTGAGAGAGACACATTGATTGGTTGCCTCCCACGGGCTCCTGACCACAGCTGGGGATCGAGCCTATATCCAAGGTACGTGTTCTTCACCGGAATTGAATCCAGGACCCTTCAGTCTGTGGGCTGATGCTCTCTCCACTGAGCCAAACGGGCAGGAATACTTTATTAAATGCATTTATTTAAATGCTTTTGTGGTAGATAATTTATTCAGCTGGCTCAAAACTTGAAGTAAGCCTCTGACCTGTTTTTCAACCACCCAATTCCCTTGCTGAATGGCAAACAATGGCTCATTTCTTGTTTATTTTTCAATAGGTATTTGATGTATACATAAGCCAAGATGAACATATTCTCCTTTTCTCCCTCACTTTTTTATACACAGCTAGCATGCAATACATTGTTCTGTATCTAGCATTTTCTTTTAAGCAATATATCTCAGACATTGTCCAATACTAGCACCTGGGTAGCTTCCCCACACTTTGCCTTGTAGAGTTCCACTGCAGCAATGGTTCTCAACCTTGGCTGCACATTAGAATCACCTGGGAATCTTTTTAAAATCCTGATTTCTGGGCCTCATCTTCTGGAAATTCTGTTTCTTTGTTATGGGGTGGGGTCACAACATTAGTAACAAAGAAACAGAATTTCCGGAGGATGAGGCCCAGAAATCAGGATTTTAAAAAGATTCCCAGGTGATTCTAATGTGCAGCCAAGGTTGAGAACCACTGCACTGTAGGAATGACCCTAATTTATTTAAGCAATCTCCAGCTGTTTTATGGTGAGGGTGTTTCCAGCCTTTTACTACCATCAACAATGCTGCAGTGAACAGCCTGGTTGAGACATAATGTCATATATGTGAGTGCCTCTATGGGACAAAGCCTTAGAATTGCTGGGTAAGGTATATATGTGATTTTGAAAGATATTTTTAGATTGCTCTCCAAAGAGCAACACTTTCACTATCTAGTAGGTGAAAACTTTTATTTCAGTAGAGTTTGATTTGCACCACTTTCCTCATCAATGTAGTTAAGTAGCTTTTTATGTTTAAAGGTGTGTGTGTGTGTGTGTCTGTGTATACTCTGTTTTTATCACCTGCTCACTTTTCTTTTGTGTTCCTGGTCCTTTTCTAATCAATGTACAGGAGCTCTTTATGTATTAGGGGAATTAGATCTCTGTTCTGTGAGCTACAGATAATTTCCCATTTGTTGTTTGTCTTTTGACCTTGCCTTGGGCTATTGCTAGGCAGAATTATTTTTCTGTAGTCAAATTTATCAGTCTCTGCTTTTATGGCTCCTAGGTTATGTGTGTCTTGCTCAGAAAGGAGCAGGACCTTCCCCCCACCCCTCTACTCCACACACACCTTTTTTAATTTTGTCAGTACAAGAGGCTTGGAATGACCTACCAGGTTTTGTGAGGAAGAGGACAACTCCTCCCCTCTAGTCAATCCCCAATTTGGGGAGACACAAAGTAAACTCACTATTGCAATTCTGTTATAATAAACTAGAGGCCTGGTGCACGACTTTTGTGCACTGGGGGCAGGGGTCCCTCAGCCCAGCCCAGCCCTCTCGCAGTCCGGGACCCCTCAGCGGATATCCACCTGCTGGGGGCGGACATCCCCCAAGGGGTCCCTAGCACTGCTGCGAAGGCAGGAGTGGCTTCTGCCACCATAGCTGCTCACCAGCCGTGAGCCTGGCTTCTGCGCACTGACCACCAGGGGGCAGCTCCTGCATTGAGTGCCTGCACCCCGGTGGTCAGTGCGTGTCATAGCGACTGGTCATTTTGCCATTTGGTTGATTTGCATATTAGGGTTTTATTATATAGGATGAGAAAGTGGCACAACGGGTACCAGCCTGAGTTGGCCAGGGAAGGCTTTCCAAAGTAGGTGGCACCCAGACACACAGAGGCATGAGTAAGAGTCAGCCAGGTAAAGAACGGCCTTCCAGTAAAAGCATCAGCATGTGCAAAGGCAAGAAGCAGCAGGACTCCATCAAGGTTGTCCTGTCTACAGGACTGGTGTGGTGTAAGGGGTGGAGCTAGAAATGTAGGCAGGGGCCAAGTATGTCTTACTCAGGAGTCAGGGCCTTACTCTAAGGCAGGGGGGAAGTGGCAGAGGGACACATAAGCTGTATGGAGGAAGAACTGACAGCCCAGTGTAGAGACTGGGACCTGGCTCAGAGGCTTCCATTCCTTGACCAGCAGCAGCCCTAGCAGCCTATAGAGCAGTGGTTCTCAACCTTCTGGCCCTTTAAATACAGTTCCTCATGTTGTGACCCAACCATAAAATTATTTTCGTTGCTACTTCATAACTGTAATGTTGCTACTGTTATGAATCGTAATGTAAATATCTGATATGCAGGATGGTCTTAGGTGACCCCTGTGAAAGGGTCGTTCGACCGCCAAAGGGGTCACGACCCACAGGTTGAGAACCGCTGGCCTACAAACTTCTCTGCTCCTGTGATCTTTTATTAAAACAAGTATTTTATAGCAGGACTCCTGGGCAACAGTCTTCCCAAAAGGGTCCAGCACAGAGCCTGGCCCACAATAAGCACTCAGTAAATGGTAGCAGTTCCTATTAAAATTGGAAAGCCTCACCATTCATTAGCAGGGTGCTGAAGGTAAGGAAGGGCCATGTGGACAGGAAGAGGGACGCTGGAAACCATTTAAGTGGAATTTTGGGACTGTCTCTGAATTTCAGTCACCCAGGCTCTCCCCACACCCCGACCTCCAAACCAGCCAAAAAGGCTGGTTCTTGGTGCTGCCATTTTAGTTATATTTTCTTCAGTGCCCAGAGGCAATTTTATCCCAAAGGGTCACTTGATTAAGTCAAGTGCTATAGAGATAGAGGCTCTTGGAGGCTTTGGGAGGCCTTGGTTCCAGCCAGGCTTCCTGGTACCCCTTGAAGGCACCTCTACTCTCAGTGGTCTGAGGGCATGCATGGGGTCCCATTCACCCCTGGCCTGGAAGACAAGAGAGCAGGAAGCCAGCCCTAATCTCAGCTCCAAATAGGAAAACAAGCACCTCCCCGGTGCAGCCACCAAACAGCAATTAGGCCAAAGGCAGAGAGAGTTTCTAGGGCTGAGCATTGTGTCTGGAGCCTGCTTCCTCATCCATGTGTGTTGTTGGGCACTGGGCGGGTGGGGCACACTCAGGCCCCCATCTGAGGTGCAGCAAAATTGAGGACACAGGCCCTGGCTGGTGTGGCTCAATTGGTTGGATTGTCATTCCATATATCAAAAGGTCGTAGGTTCAATTCTCAGTCAAGGCACATGCCTGGGTTGTGGGTTTGGTCCCCAGTTGGGGTGAGTACGAGAGGCAACCAATCGATGTTTCTCTCACATCAATGCTTCTCTCTCTCTCTCTCTTTCTCTTCTTCCTCCCCCCCCCCCCCCCCAAATCAGTAAACATGTTCTCAGTGAGGATTAAGGAAAAAACACACAAGAACAACTGAGGACACCAGGAAGCAAGGGGACTGAGTTTCAGGGCAGGTTCCAACCCTGCTGGCTGTGTGCCTGTCACTTGCATAAAGGGCTACATCTGCTTAGGGTCGGGATTTTATTTTTCCCAAAATGAAACAGTCTATTTCAGTAATGTTAGGAATAAACTTCCATTTATTTTACATTTACTATGTAGGAGGCACTCAGGGGGGTGGTTATTCTACACAAATTATCTCATTTGATTCTCTTAATAACTCTGGGAGGGTAGAGTAATACAGATGAGGAAAGTGAGGGTCAGAAAGACTGAGCCCTGAGCCAAGGTCCCACTGCTAGCAGGTGGTAGAGCTGGGATTTAAACTAGGGCTGTCTTGCTTCAGAGCCCTTTGCCCTTAACCACTGTATGCCATGGGGCCTAACAAGCACCAGATCCTTCCTCACCCACACCTAGCAACACCCCGATCTCTGAGACCACAGATGGGCTGTGAAAGAAGGAAGGAGTCTCTCAAAAGGTCACTTTTCTTTATTTCCCAGTACCCCCAATCTTACAGCATGATCAGGGTCTTTGCAACGTGTAGGCTTTCCTGACCCTGCAGGGCAGCTGAAGTTCCAAAGGCCTAGCCAGGGGCCCACCACACTGGGAATCTCCAGCTGAGACCATTTCTAAAAGTGGTTCCTGGGCACAATGGGGAATCAGGTTGGCCAGTCACTCCTCAGTCCCCTCCTAGAGGCACAGGGACAATGCAGCAGCTTGCCCCTCTGGCTTGCTGGAACCATCCCAGGAAAAGGAGGGGAGGAACTCCAGATAGCAAGGAGTCTCCTGGCTGAAAGAAGTTGAGACCTGGGCCAATTTACCTTGGGGCAGGTCGGGCCCTTGGAGAGTGTGGAGCAGACCCAGGCTAGACCCCTACTCAGCAAAGGTGAATTCCCGCCATACTTTGCCAATGTCCACCTTCACTGACATGGCCTGAAAACACACTGGGTACAGAGGGACACACATGAGAGATCCTGGGTTCAACCCTGCTGAAAGCCAGCATGCTGGGAGAGAACTTCCTTCACTTTGTCCACAATGGTGTCCACCTCAGCCATGGCCCCCAAACCTAGGGAACAAAGTTCTGCTGTGGCCCTGCAGACTGACGCAGGGTACCACCCCCTACTCCAATCCCACCCTGTACTCCCCCAAGGGCTCCACCCAGACCCCAGTGCCTGAGAAGGACAGGACCTTCTGCCTGAGCCAGACCCTCACATCCTTCTGAAATCCACCAGGACAGGCCCCGGAAACAGTTACAGTAGCTGTCATGAACTATGCACGGGCTGTGTGCCAGGGATACCAGGCACCTTACATGAACTATCTCATTTAATCCTAACAACTCTGAGGGGGAAGGAATTATGATTTCCATCTTCCAGATGAGAAAGCTGGGCTCAGAGGAGAATGGTTTTGCCTGAGGTCACAACAGGCTGGGAATCTTAATCCAGATCTGACCATGGGCCATGAGGACAGGCTGTAAGCCTGGCCAGATGCCCACCTTGGTCTCCACACACCAGCTTCTTGGCCACACAGGGGATCTCGATATAGCCAAAGGCCTGGAGCTGGCCCACCTGCTGCGAGGTAAGGGGATGCTCCCACATGGCAGTGTTCATTGCTGGGCAGAAGAGCAGGGGCTTTCCGCGGTCCCAGGCCCGGATGACACAGGTCTGTGAAAAAGGATGGGGGAGGGGTGCCTGCTGTTCCAGCTGCCATCCTCCCCAACCCTTCCAAATCCTACACACCATCCTCTGGGTCACAAGCAGCCATGAGGTTAGGATGACTGAGGTTAGGATGACTGATGGCTGCTATCTGCAGGGAGCTGTCTCATGTCCCTCTAGGAAAAGAGAGGGGAGTTCAGAGAACAATGAAATGAAGAGGCCAGGACCAATGCCACCCTTCTCCGTGCCCCTGCCCTCTCCTGGGGACAGGAAGGAAGTAGGACAGCACACAGTCTCTGGATCTGGCTGTTTGCATCGTCCCAGACACCAGCATTTGTTTCCCACCAATGTCTCTCAGAGTTCAGCAACCAAGCTATGAGTGGACAGTTTCAGTCGCACTTTCTCTTGGCCCCATGACAGCTGCTGCTTCTGCAAAAGTCATGAGTATACCTAGAAGAGCCCCCTGACTGCATGTGGGGTGGGGTGAGGGCTGGGCTGGGGTTTCTACATGTCCTCAAAATAAAACACACTGACCAGAGCAGAAACCGAACTCCTCCATGTCCCACACTTTCTTGCTCTGCCCACCTCATCTCTAAGCTCAGGGCTTCCTGGACAAACCAGAGCTCCTCCAAACCTTCTGGCAGCAAGAGGCATGAAAGGAGGCATTAGTTCCCATCATCACTTCTGTTTGGCCAACACTGTATTCAGCAACTCAAGTTCTGCCCCTGGGAATCTGCTTGGGTGAAGAGAAGGCCTGGATCCCAATCAGGGGACCAGCTCCCAGCTAGACTGGTGACCCAAGGAAGTCTCCTTCTCTTTCTGGATCTGCTTGGCTGTTTACCACAAAGAAGGGGCCAAGGACTGAGTAGGCCAGAGGGCAGGTCAGATGACAAAAGGCCCGGAGGCCAGTACACAGATTCACACTCAGCACACTGCTCTAATAGCACCACAAGTTCTGGGCACTAGAAAGGAAGGAAGGAGAACTGAAGGAGAGAAGTAGCAGGGTGAGCTTCTTTTCCAGGATAAAGGATAAAGGACATAAGGATAAAACATCTTTTGAGAGAGGACAGAGCCACAGAGCAAGAATGGTGACAGTTAAAACATTGTAAGATTTGCAATTTCTTAAAATATTTGCCTTCGCCCAGCCAGTGTGCCTCAGTGGTTGAGCATTGACCTATGAACCAGAAGTCACAGTTCAATTAGGGTCAGGACACGTGCCCGGGTTTCGGGCTCGATCCCCATTGTGGGGCAAAGCAGGAGGCAGCCGATTGATGCTTCTCTCTCATCATTGATGTTGCTCTCTCTCCCTCTCCCTTATTCTCTGAAATCAATTCTGGGGGCTGGTCTTGGAAACTTATTCTACTGTTCAGCCAACTCAGGAGGGAACTCCAAAGATTTCAAGGAGCAATGGCAGCTTCAAGGAAAAAAAGGAAAGCAGAACTTTCAGGAGGAAGGAGGGAGCCCTCGGAGAGCAGCCTAGGCTGGGGCTTAATTCCTAGAGCTTGGTGTGCTTCGCCACATCAGCCAGCTGCTGACTAGCAGTGGGAAGCCTAGAGGTTTGGTAACACAGTGTTGGTCACATACAACTCTGACCCACTTAAATGAAAGTGGCAGGAGGCTCACAGGCTCCAGCTGCCCTGTCAGCCCTGGCACCAACCCCACTGGGAAGCCTTCTGCACTCCCTTACCTGCTCCTGGCCACACAATCTGTGTGCTGCCCTTCTTCTGGTCACCTTGTGTTCTTATTCAAATGATGCTTAAATTACTAGTAGATTCTTCCAAAGTGCCTTAAGTGCCAACAACAAGCATAGGAGGAGACTAACCTATCTGACCCCCCAAAATATTGACCCAGCTTCGTTATTCACTTCTTCGCCATATTAAACTCTGAAAAACTCCTGGCTGTTTGCCACAGTAAAATTACGAATTATCTCATACATATAATAAATATATGCCTACTACTGTGCAAGGTGGTGACTCTATTGTCAAAGGACTGACTGGAAACATTGAAGATTGGGCCACACACCAAAGCATACTCCCTTCTCACCTGAATGGGTGAACAAAAACCCTCTCCTTCCAGACTGTGCGTTCCCTGTGTCCTGTGTGTCTCTCAGCATGGGTCCAGTTCATGGTAGGTAAAAGCTCAATAAATGAGTAAAGGGAGGGTAATAAGGCAGAGGGAGGAGAGAGATCATGCCTAACTCCTCCCAGGATGATCAAGTACACAAAGTTTCTTTAAGGACAATAGCTCCCTGAAGATCTATCAATCCCACTTTGCACAGCTGAACTTGTGTTCCTTTCCTCCATCATCCATAAGCTCACACTCTTGGCCCTGTCTTTCTCCTATTTTCCTCTCTCAGCTTTCCATGATACATAGGAAAACTGCACCTCCATCTGTGACTAAATACAGAAGAGATAAATGTGTGTGAAACATCCATGAAGAAGTAAACACTCTTATTAGTTGCCCATGTGGATATCCAGATCCCAGTGAGAAGGCAGGCAATGGAACTAGGCCAGGAGACTGACAGAATGGCAGCCCATGAATGAAGGACAAAGGGAGAAGAGCTGAGCATCAAAGGGCAGGTGAGTGGTGGACAGCCTTAGAAAGCACCCACAAGTCGAGTCCATCCATCCATCACACCTTCTGCCAACTTGCCAAAGCATAGGTGAGATGGGTAGGGGGCAGAGGGACAGTGTTCTGAGCAAACAGGACCATGATAAAAGGATTCCAAGGTGAGAACCTTATACAAAGGTAGTCTATAGCTCAGCAAACTGGGAGAGAGGTTCAAGGAGGGAGGAGGGCACAGGGATTCACTCACAAGCAAGTTGTCACAGATGCCACTGGCCACCTTCCCCAGAGTGTTGGCATCGAGAGGAGCCACCAGCATAAGGTCTGCCCACCTCCGAAGGTCAATGTGGAGAACTGGGTCAGACCGGCACTTCCACATCTGGCAAGGAGAAAGAAATGGCGTCACTGGGCAGACCACTCTGTTGGTGGAGGGAAGGAGGTGTGTGTGTGT